GTGTGTGTGTGTGTGTGTGCACAGTATATCTGTTTCAATATCTCCTTGGACATAAAGTTCTAATACAGTTTCCATCCTGTGCCACTGAACTTGTTTCTCGAAGTAATATTTCCATCAGTACTCAAAAGTTTGTATAATGTTCATATTCTCTATTTAATTTTGTATTTTGTGCTTTCGCTTGTCTCAGCAGCAAATCTTATCGTATCTTATCTCATCCCATCGTATTGCACCGCTTTGTAACGCATCGTTTTTTATCGTAACAAATCGTTTTTTATCCTAACTTATCTTATTTTATCGTAACAAATCTTATTTGATTTGATCGTATCTTATTCGATCGTCTCCTATCTTATTCGATCGTCTCTTATTTGATTTGATTGTCTCTTATCTTATTCGATCGTCTCTTATCTTACTATATTTTATCGTATCTTATTTGATTCGATCGCATCTTACAAACATATAAAAGACAAACAGGATCTTCATCTTTGTGTCGAGCTGCTGCAGCACAGTGATGTTCTGATTCCTTCTTCAGCGAGAAGGTGGGAACAAAGAAGCTTCTCTATTTATTTCTTCTTACATAAGCAGCACAAAAAAAAAAATCTCTCATTTCATCCTCTTCAAGCTTCCTCAAGGGCGTTATATTAATATTGTGCTTTCAGCTGCGTCTCCGTCTGCGGCGCTGCTGCACTTTGAAGCGTCGCTCTCTGATGTCGACTCTAAATTTAGGCGGGTTCAACGTGTCGTCGGCTGCGAGCGCGCTGACCTTGGTGTTTGTTCTCGACAGAGCATCCTGTGGAAGAGGAGTGGAAGCTCTCTGAACAAGGAGTGGAAGAAGAAATACGTCACCCTGTCCAACAATGGCACTCTGTCGTACCACTCCAGCTCCAGTGTAAGAGAACACCGCAGCACCGATCGATTCGGCAGTAAAACACAGAGAAGCATCAGCACACAGAGTTTTCACTGTGCGGCTTTTTAACTCAACTTTACACCAGTGGGTTCGGTTCAGGTCACGTTCTTCTTAAACTGCATCGAAACTTATATTTATACTTTTTAAATTTAATGTAAAATAATCCAAGTGATGCTTTCACATCAGAATTACACAAATTGTTATTTTCTCTACCTTAGAATGAGCCATTTATATTTACATACTGGAGGGGGAGGGGGAGGCGAGGGGTGTTCAACTGCAACGTGACACTTAACCACTAGATGTCACCACATTCTTCACACTGAACCTTTAATTTTTTCAACAGGAACATTCAGTGACACATTTGTCCAGTCACAAATTGAACACACAAATGAATTATTCTCTGAGAAATCAAGAAAAACTTTGAAAAGTTTGGTGGAATTGTCGAATCTCAATGTTTCATTGTTTGTTTGTTTCAGGATTACACACAGAATATCCACGGGAAAGACATCGACCTGCTTCGTGTGACGGTTAAAGTTCCCGGGAAACGTCCTCCGAGAGCGGTGGCTCCCGCGGCGCCCTCACCTGCGGCCCCCGGCCCCCTACCTCGAGTTAACGGGCTGAGCAAAGAGCTGACGGCCGCTGACGGCACCAGCACAGGTACCGTGAAGTCACTGAGTCAGTTTGTCTGTCAACAAATCCCATGAAAAGACAAAAACTCACATGAGAGTTTATTTAAAACAAGCCCAGTTAAACAAAGTGTGAATATGATTCGCCCCACGTCCTCTCGTCTGTCAGTCCCTCAGCTGTGTCCGTCCACCCTGTCCGTGGTGGACGATCGCTCCGGCGGTTTGTCGCCTCAAGGTGGAGAGAGAGGTCTTCAGCGCTGCTCGTCCTCGTTGTCCACCAAAGCACAAAGTGTTGGTACGTAGGCAGGAAGTAAAACCTTCAGATACTTTAAACCCTGTAAACAACGTGGTTCATGGTATTTATACACGTTTTCAGGACTGTATCTTTATAAGTGTCTTTGAGCATTCTTGAAATATTTACACATAAAATGTTTTCTTCTTCTTCTTCCTCCTGCTGCTTCTTCTCCTCCTCCTCCTCATCATCATCATCATTATTATCATGTCAGACGCCCTCGAAGGGACGGCCGGTCCTTTTGCTGGAAAAGACGCGGGTCAGTCGTCTCCCATGAGCGACAGGAAGAAGAACAGGAGGAAGAAGAGCATGAATCAGAAAGGAGACGCAGCCGTGGGACAGGCTGAAGGTAACGTCCCACACAGGAAGTCCTCCTCTTCTTCTTCTTCTTCCTCATGAATGTTAGAAAAAGCATTGACAGGGAAACCGACACAGGAACGAGGAACAACAACAAATATGCAAAATGATAAAAAACCTCAGAGTATTTTTGAGGAAGAGGACGATTCGATGCTTCTGTCACCACATGCAATGAAAAACAGTTTTAATCCCGACTTTCCTTTTCCTGACTCCTCACGTCCTCTCTCCTTTGTAAGGACGTGGTTCAGCCGAGGTGTTTGTCTCTCTCTGATGTCTCCTTCGCCTCCTAACGTGTTTGTGCTTTTTCTTCCCCTCTGCTTGTCTCTCGCTCCGCAGCCAAACGTAAAATGTGGAAGTTAAAGAGCTTTGGTAGCTTGAGAAACATTAATAAGACAGGTAACGAGTGAGAGCAGGTCAACGAGTCTGTTTTCATACGTTCGTCCAAAGAAACCTCAGTTCTTCATTTTCATTCACTTTCATTGGAACAAGATATTTATGTTTTCACCTTCTGTCAAATTTATTTTGTTTGTGCATGTTCATTTTTTTGTATTTATTCCACCGACCCCGTTCAGACCTGGTAACACACACACACACACACACACACACACACACACACAGTGACACACACACTTAATTTGTTCTCCATGGACACAAATGAGTTCCATGTTCGTTTCCTTACGGAGCAGGACGTGTGATCTGATCTGGTCACATTCAGGACACGTGACGATACCAGGTGTGAACGGGTCCTCCGTCCACAGATCCAAAATGTCCGTCCACTGTAACTTGGTCGCCTCTGAACCACACGCAGGTCTCACTTGAGGTTTGTTCTTCTCCCGCAGACGAGGAGAACGCAGACTTCATCGTGGTGTCGTTCACAGGGCAGACGTGGCACTTTGAGGCCCAGAGTCTGGAGGACAGGGACTCGTGGGTGTCGGCTATCGAGAGCCAGATTCTGGCCAGTCTGCAGTCGTGCGAGAGCGGCAGGAACAAGGTAAACCCCATTTTTAAAATAACATCAATGTGTTTGAAGAGAAAACTTCAATAAACCTTAAGTATCGTCATCACTCTGTTCCTCAGGTTTTATTCTGCCGTTAGATCAGATTCACTGAAACGTTACTCGGAGACAGGAAATAAAGAAAAATAGAGAATAAAACAACCAGTTAAAAGGCTTAGATATAAAAACATGTTTTGAGCAGTGACATGGATTGAAACCGATATGGAGCCAAAACGCTTTATGGATTATTAAGAATTATTACTATTATTATCATTATTGTTGTTGATATTATTAAACTGTGAATATCTGGTGTTTTGGTGAGATATCTTACCAGGACGTCTTTTTTTGTTTTTCATAATCAACACGTGTGACCGTGTGCCACAGTTGATCCTGCGAATAATGATTTAAATGTGTGTGTGTGTCTGTGTTGTGTGTTGTGTGATTGTTCAGGCTCGTCGGAGCAGTCAGAGCGAGGCCGTAGCGCTTCAGGCCATCCGCAACGCCAAGGGCAACGGCCTGTGTGTGGACTGTGAAGCTCCCAGTGAGTTCTTACACGTCTCGTCCCCTCCGGCTGCAGATTTCTGTTTTCATGCAACTTTCCCAGCCTGAGGCGGAGTCGCGCATCACGCACTGTTTATCTCTACTCAGTAATCTCATGTGGACAACTCTGCTTTCACCCTCACAGCACACACCGGCCCTACAAACCAAGAACAGTAAAATAAAATGTCCGCTAAAGGCAGGTTCGCAGAGCAAAGGGATGATGTGGCTGGTGGGGGGAGGGGGAGGATGTGTCTCTTTGCAGCTCACACGCCATCTTAGGTCTTGAAGCAGGAGAGCGATCAGCCAATCTCGGTCGTGTTTGAACGCACCACTCAGGAACCGTGAGATTAAACCACTTCCTGTTGGCGGCCTCTCTTCTCTTCTCGCCCTGCAGATCCCACCTGGGCCAGTCTCAACCTGGGCGCGCTGATCTGCATCGAGTGCTCGGGGATCCATCGAAACCTGGGGACTCACCTGTCTCGCGTCCGCTCGCTGGACCTGGACGACTGGCCCGGAGAGCTCACACAGGTCCTGGCCGCCATCGGCAACCACATGGCCAACAGCATCTGGGAGAGCTGCACGCAGGGCAGAACCAAACCCACGCCGAGCGCCACGCGGTGAGTTTGGAGGTCAAAGGTCACCTGGAGAGAATCCTTTCATATCTGGCACAAATGTATTTGCGGAATAACTCGTCAGGTTTTGGTGATTGAAAGATTTAAGTTTACTGTGAGTTTGCGAGTTTATTCTGATGCCCAGATCTCCTGTGTGTGTCTGTTTTCACCAGTGAGGAAAGAGAGTCGTGGATCCGTGCGAAGTACGAGCAGCGGGCGTTTGTGGCCCCTCTTCAGCCGACCTCGGGGACCCAGCCGCCCGACGACGGGCCGCCGGTGTGGCTCCTGTCTGCGGTGACGGAGAGGGACCTGCCCAGACTGCTGCTCCTCCTCGCCCACAGCACCAAGGAATGGATCAACGCTCAGCCGGCCGGCTCCACCTCACCGCCTCGCACGGCCCTGCACGCTGCCTGTCACCTGGGAGACGTCGTCATGACTCAGCTGCTCGTCTGGGTGAGTCTCTCCTCTCTGGTTCTTCAGCTCCTCATAGATTCATCAATGAAAAATAGTCTGTGAAGGTTCCAGAGTTAATTGGGATGTGGATGAGATGGAAAATCCGATTAACCAACTAAGCCCAGTGAAGTTTAATGGTCCTGGAATTATCTTCTTATTTAACATGTCGACTGATTTAATTACATCCACCAAGGACGTCGTGTTTTCACTGCAAGATTACACAAAAAGAGCTGGTGGGTGCGGAGACGTGTCACACAAGCAAGTTAACAGGAAACACAGACGCACAAGCCTCAATACGGAAACACAACCACAACAGAAGATCAGGAGAGAAGCCATTTAATTTTGGGGGTGGATCTGAATCAGGTTGAAAAACGCTCAGTCTCACAACGTTAAAGAAAGTGAAGAGGAAATCCCTGCATTCAAACCTTTGCATCGAAACTTTGATGAGTTCCTCCCTGAAACTATATCGCGTCCCACCAACAAGTTTCATGGAAATCCGTTCAGTAGTTTTTGTGTAATCTTGTACACAAACAGACGGACAGGGGTGAAAACTCCCCTGTGGTAATGAAGTTTAACAGATCTCCCCTGTGATCAAAGTCTAATCCATAAATCATCTCTTTCATCTTCTCTCTCCCGTTTCTCTCCTCGGCAGTACGGAATCGACGTGAAAGCGAAGGACAACCAGGGCCAGACGGCCATGATGATGGCCAGAAAAAACGGGAGCAAAGGCTGCATGGATATTTTGCACCAGCACGGCTGTCCGAGCGAGACGTCCCCCACCACTGCCACGCCCGTCCTCTCCCGCCGCTCCAGCACTGCCAGCCTGGGCCGAACCAGCTCCAGGAAACGGGTGTCGTAGCGTGGACTGAAGAAGCGATGCTGCGGGGTGGGGGGTGATTCTGTGGAGACGGGTGTACTATAAGAAAAATCACAGAACTGGTGATTTAAAAAAAAAAAAAAAAATGCTTCTGAAGACTGAACAACATATCAAACAACTTTAAAAGCAATATTCACGTTGTTGTCGATGACAGATGTAATATTGCTGAAATACCGTGTTGTTGTCGAACCTCATTACGAAAAATGACTCGAGTAGAACTTTGTAGCCGTCGTCTGTAGTCTCAGAGCAGACGCTCCATCTGCTTCGGTTCCACTTCGTCCAGATGAAGTGCAATAATCAGATGAGGAAAAAGCGACAAGTGTGACGGTGAGAGAATCATCACGTTACCGGGAGGGGGGGGGGGGGGGGGGGGTTTCTTTTATTCACATTTTCTGTGACTGGACCAAAACAGCTTTTTTTTTCCTTTGGCTTTACAGATTAAACATAAACCTACAATATGTCATGTTGTTAGTTGCGTGTCCCTGTTGCCGCAGTGTAAAGGCTGAGATTATTCTGCTTAGACTAGAAACATGAATGGTTTGGAATATGAAATATGTCAGTGTTACTCTCACAGGTCAAGACTTTAATATTCTGTAAATGTACCTATACTACAATCTTAATGTTCCACTCTGTAACGAAGACACAGCCGGAGAATCAGACTCGATTTTGTAAATGTTTTCTTACAGGTAGTTTTGAAAATATGTCAGGTTTGTTTTTTCATTGTCTTTTATAATTTCTTATCCTCTGTCACGAAAACATAAACCAGGAAACAAAACAAAAACAAAAAAAAGTTTTACATGTGTAAACATGTGGCTATTTGTTGAAAGTTTGATTTGGGATGACGACATGATTCATATTCATATTCCTGTTGTGTAGGTTCGATCCCGTGAGTCCCAGTATGAAGCAGCTGTCACTTCTGACACTTTGTGGGTCGAGTGAATCATGAGCTCAAACAAATAGTTACCAGAATAAAATAAAGTTTTTAAAAAAAGAAATCAGACGTAAAACGATGATTTGTCTTTGACTTTGTTTTTATGTCTCGATCATCTGCTGCAATATGATGCTGTCTGTCTGTCTCACTGTCTGTCTCTCTGTCTGTCTGTCTGACTGTCTGTCTCACTGTCTGTCTGTCTGACTGTTTGTCTGACTGTCTCTCTGTCTGTCT